AAAGGTTTCGTAGTCGAAGTACGAAACCAAAAAGGGTTTCATACGAAACTTAAAACGGTTTAGAAATGGTTGCACTTCTCTATACCCTTTTAAGTTTCGTAATAAACCTTTTTTTTTTAGAGAGTAGAGCGATTTTCCAGAAACTCCAAAAATCTCTGAAACTTTTTCTTAATAAGCTATGTTTGTAGCCCACGAAATTCTGATAAAAATAAGATACTTCCTAGCTCTACACCACCTGTCCTTGGAAAGTTATAGAATTCACAAGGAAAGCCCTAAATTCCTGCTTCTTTTTTCTGTCTATAGCTCTGAACTGATAATGAACATTTAAGGCTTTTCTTCTAAATTCTATAACTTTGCAAAGAAAGGTCGTGTAGAGCTGGGGGCTATCTCATTTTGATTAGAATTTCGCTGGCTACAATCATGGCTTATTAAGAAAAAGTTTTAGATATTTTTTAGAGTTTCTGGAAAACTGATTTTCAAGAAAATCGCTCTAGGAAAGTCTATCAGCCCGTCGCATATGGATATTCAGAATCAGGGTGGTCAATAATCTATAACACACTAGGTTTGGTGAAAAAAGCGAATTATCAGTTCGTGTACTTCCCTCGTTAGTGTTTTCTCTAGCAAGCATTTTCTCTACGCTTCTTCCTTTGATATTTGTATATTCCAATCTAGATTATGTTCACTATATGTATATCGAATCCAAATATATAACCCTACCGCAAGCAGCTAGTCATAAAAGTCAAGACCATTTTAAAAAGGATTCGATTCGATTTTCGATAAATTATATTACATAAGCATAAAAAATAAGTAATAGAGTATTCTTTGAAGTTTTTGAACATTGTAGTCATAGACATCATGTATGAAAAAGTAGAAGTATTGCTGCCCATACAATAATATTTTTATAATGGATAGCTTCGCTACTACCATTGAAAAAAGGCAATGCCATCGATTATTTTCCTATAGCTTAAGGCGCGCCTATAGACTAATGTTAAAAAGAAAAATATTAAACGACTAATATTAAATATCAATTAAATATCTTTTCATCTTATCTATATATAAATTTCAATTAAAATTTCAATTGCAACTTTCTATTTTAGAATAGTCAAAAACAATCGTAGAAACGTCATTCTTGGGTAGCTTGATAGTCAATGATATCTAGTTATACTATAATAGGATGATTAATTAAAAAGTTTTTTAAGATATAATTAATTTTTGATTAACTTTTTTCGGCACATGAGAGATACACCTGTGGCTCCTGAGTCAATTATTTTTTCCCAAAAAGCAAGACTCTCAAATTGATAAAATCGTTCATGAAACGAAAAAAGGTTGAAAACTAGCATCTTTTAAAAGTGATATTAATCGACACCGAGGTCGATCGATACCATATCGGTAGTAGTGCTTGACTAGATCCGCAATTAAGCGATTGGAAAATGTACATACATGTAAACTCCACTTGAAATATCAACTATAATAATGTTGTTTTATTAGATTCGAGATGAAATAGAAGAAAAGGAAAAGGAAGAATATTATCAATTAATGCACAAATTTAACCGTTTGAATTTCAGAACCAACAATGGTTCAACTCTGTTACATTTAGCTGTTGTTCCCAATACATTTCCAAATGAATATTATATAGAAAGAAATTGCAAGTATGCATACCTCTGTGTAAGATAAAAGACAGCAAACAAATTTTTTTAATTAATGTTTCAGATTTCCTTCACTATCAGCTGTTCAGGTATTAATTGAATGTGGTGGTATTGATGTAAATGCTTTGGACTTCAATCGAAATACTCCATTACATTTACTTGCTATACACTCTTGTGGAGTTCTTAATGATGAAACTTTAACTACAATCAAACTGATCGTAAAAAAATTAAATGAAGGTGGTTGTCATTGGGATTGCATTAATTCAGCAGGAAAAACAGCAATAGAATGTACAAGCTCAGGTTTCATACAAAAATTTATAGCAAATCAAATGACACTGAATCTGAAATGTATAGCAGCCAAAATAGTTAAAAAATCAAAAATAAATTATTATCAATCTTTATCAAAAACATTGTGTGATTTTACTGAATTACATTAAAGATTTCCATCAGATATGATCATTTACATTGATAGTTTTTTGTCTTTTTACATTTTTTAAGAAACATAATATATTAAATACAATTGAAAACACGTTAAGTAAAGGCATTTTACACTTTTTGCGAGCTTTCGATACTAATCTAGTAGCATCATCAGGCATACAACTGGAAGTGAAATTGGAAAAGAGATCTTTTCCAATTTCACTTTCAGTTGTATGCCTAAGGATGATACTAGATTAGTATCGAAAGCTCGCAAAAAGTGTAAAATGCACATTTATAATGAACCTCGTACGGGTGAACTTCTTTCTAACAAATTCTTAAATCACCTCTGTAAAACGCGCAGATGCGACCGGATCCGACATATTCCGGGACCTTCCGGCCGATGAATCAGATTTCACTGGAGTTGGCAGAATGTGACCAATTTTGAGGTTAAAAATAGTCTTCATCCTTCTATCGTAGAGAGATCCTCTATTGTGTCCATCCCTTTATCAAAACTGGAGTTATAAAAAATAAAAAGAACTTTCTGACTTATTCTGGCTGAGTTATAGAATTTACAAAATGAGCATCATCGTCGATTTGCGAAAAGTAGCCGTCTCTAATATTTTGACTATAACTCCACCATTTTTTATCCGTTCTGTTCAAGCAACATCTCATTCGAAAGCCTGATAAAAAGTAAACAAAATCACATAGAACCTAGTTTTTCTGAAGTAGAAAGTGACTGTCTAAAACCCACATCAATTGGAGAATTAGGATTTTGACGGATCAAAATTTTCGAGAAAAGGCCGCCTTCGACCCTCCAAATAGAATTTAGCTAAGAATTCGAAGATCACATACGATAGAGAATTCAATTTTCCACAAACTGAGCGCAAAAACTTTCTTTTAAAAGTGGTGCAAAATTTCCAAAACTTGAGAACAAGTTGGCTGACTAACCGCGAGTTTTAAGTTATTTTGAGATTTTAGTCATCGAAATTTCACTTAAAAGCAAAAGTAAGGACATATGGCTAGAAAAAGAAACTAATTTAATGATTATTAATCTTTGAGGAAGCTTCAGTGTTTATAATGAAAGTTCAACTCTTTAGTTTTTCAACGCTTCAAGTTCAACGCTTTAGCAAAGTGTACAACGCCCTAGGAAAAGTGAAAATATACTGTTTACACTCTGTGAAAATAAACATAGCGTACAGTGTACCCTTTGATATAGAGACTTCCTCTTCAATCTTTTTACAAGATTTTGACCAACATATATGAGAAAATAAAAAATTGCTTGCAGTTTTATGAGTTAAGGAACAAGATAGAGAGGAAAGGGGAGAAGCATTGAACGATGACAAAGCCTTATATTCACAGTTTGTGAAAAGCATCGGCCATTTTCAAACCATTGTTTGAGAATATTTCTTTTTCTACAAATGCCGACCTCATTTTTAATCCCGCAGAAACAATAGATGATTGAACAAGCACAAGAAGCATTAGTTTTTAATTGTATCTCGTTTATCTATGTTCAGAATTGATTTTCAGCACAAAGAGAGAATTTATTGCTAGATCACTAGCGTTAAACTAGTAGCCATATTTGCTGAGCGTTACCTAGTAACACGATACACCTAATAGACTATCGATAAAATCAGACTTACATACTGGAAGAAGTGGTAAGTAGCACAGAGCATGCTATGTATTAAGCAATCTATCCAGTATATTACAGGTCTCTATTTCTCTCCGCTCAATGTCAACAGCATTAATAGCAACGCTAAATATTTTGTGCGACATCACACTAGATTATTTCAACAATAAAGGAATGACGATAACTCATTCAAGCAACCCTAGTGAAACTTCTTGTAACCAAGATCTTGACTTCTTGAATTTTTTCAGTAAGATCTTGATTCAAGATCTTGGTAAGAAAATATAAGAATTCAAGAAATTTCAAGAAGTCAAGATCTTGAAC